CAACTGTGACTTGGATTGATCACTTGTTCTTGACAGTCGTTTATGCATCTAGTTCAGGGAATCAGAATGAGAGATAGAGCATATAGGTAGCCATGTGAGATTTGAGCCAGCTCGTTTCTTTCTTGTGCGATAGATCCCTCTTCCATGATGTGTAGCATTCACGTTGTCATTAGCTAAGATGATGGAGGCATAGGATTAGTCCACGACCAAATTGACTGTCCTGATGTGTCATATCCCCTAGTCAGCCCCTTTGAGCCATGTGTTATCCTTTCTTTCTGTCTACAATGAAAAATCACCCTTTTGCATCTTTTAGAAGGTTCCACAGAGTGGTTTTTACATGTTTTCTGCTGTTTCTGCTAAATGTAATGTGAGGGTTGGAGGTAGTGCTTAAAATTTGGGCATGCGTTTGAAAAATGTGCAGAGGTGGTGGTTCTCTTAAGAAATGAAAAAATAAAGAAAAACAAAGAAAAAAAAATGAAAGCAAAAGAGAGTCTGATGCTCTAAAACACAACACCTAACAATGGCCAAGTGTAACCAATGAAAGGGACTGCAGTATAGTGGCACAAGTAATAAATATCGAATCCACGGGTCTCTAGAGTTACTATTACTCAGCTTCAGTTCATTATCTAGCAAACTAGATTAAGGATTGATTAACTAAACTACTCTACTAACTAAACTAAGTAAAACTACTAATTACAGTTTGGGAACTCACTTAGGTATGATTCCCCCTAGCTCCTCAATTAGGTCCAAGTTGTAATTCCTTTTGGTTGTTTTACTGTTGATTAAACTGCGGAAGATCCGACAGTAGCTTGGAATCTCTCAAGCTGACCAAGCCCTCTCAGTCTAACTATCCGGCAGACGACTAGTCTTCACCGGGATAGAAAGCTGAAGCAATAAGCACAGAACTCCACTACTGGAATTGGATTCCAGTACAAAGCAGTAAACTGGCTAACTCTCGTATAGCCAATCTCCTACTACCGAATGATGAGACTCTAGCAACCTAATCAGATTCTATCTATCTCAGATTGCAGCAGGAATCAGGAAAAGTTGATCAGACTTCAATTGACTCAATAAACATGCATCATTCGATTATAATCAAACAATATAACATCCAAAACTTCATACAAGAAAGATCCTAACTCATGGAACTAAGGTTCCTCAAAACCTAAGTGAAGGGAAGTTACTCCATAGAGAAGAGAGAGACTGCAGAAATCTGATCTAGATCTTCAATCTCCATCTCCAAGCTTGATTCCCGAGCTCCAATGGCGAAGAAATCCTCCAAAATAGCTCCAAGAATGTTCCCAAGTCGCTCTCTCTCTCTAGGGTTCGTCCCTTGGGTGTTTGGGATCCAAAACCCAGCTCTCCTCTTCTTTGGTTCGGAATTTGGCTTAAAACCAGGAAATCCCGACTCGCACGGCCAGGGTGCACGGCCGTGCATATCACCATTCTGGCCGTGCAACTCAAAACGCAGCGTGTCATTTAGTCGAACTTCAGCCCTCTCGCACGGCCAGGGTGCACGGTCGTGCGAGCTTCAGGGGTTGCCCGTGCGTGTCCTCGGCATAAGGCGCACGGCCATATTGCTCACGTGCACGGCCGTGCAGCCTCCCTGGTCTGCCCGTGCAGCTCCCCAAAAACCTCGCCATTCGTCCGTTCTTCGTCCAATCAACCCCAGACTCGCTCCTAAGCCTTCATTCACGTACTAGGACCTGAAACATCACAAACAAGCACAACCTAGCGTGAAATCGGTCTAAACCACGAGAAATCACATCTCAAACGGTGTAAGAACAGGGGTAAAAACATGTGTAGTTAACGGTCTATCAAACTCCCCCACACTTAACCGTTTGCTTGTCCCCAAGCAAACCTAACTCAAACCAATGCAACTCTCCAGACCTCTATAGCAACAAACAACCCAGATCTTAGGTAGAGGACTTCCTAGATCATTTAGCAACTTACGAGGTCAACCGACGCACAAGTCATCTCATAACTTCTTCGGCGAGTCGGCATCATGGCAAATAGTGAACAGAGGACAAATGGATTGTGGATGAAGAGATTCTCAAAAACAAAGGATCATGGACTCACATTTTTCAAGGTGCTCTATTTTCTTCTTGAAGATGGTTGGAACCCTTTTTTTCTGTTTTGCTTGTTTTCTGTTATTTTTCTTTTCTTTTCAAGGGTCCCAACCTGCTCTTACCGGCCATGCCAGGAGCGGATGTCTCGAGCCTCGTGCGGGGGAAAGACATGTAAGGGGGCTGGAGGTAGTAGGTGGAAATTGGGAACGGATTCCCGTCTCCCCTTACACACTTTCTCCCTATTCGCACGGGAGACGTCATTTTGAAGCACAATTTCGAGCACCTGTTAAACTCAAAACATGATACAAGAGTCCATGACAGGTAGAGAATCCACAACACCACACAATTCAAGGGTCCTAAGATCACTAATTCACTCAATCAACCAACTCAATATGAAGAAGAAATGAGACTTCTTAAATGCATCAACATCCTCCATAGTGCTACACTACCTCCCTAGGTTGCATATTACTGTAAAGACTGTCAATTCAAAGCATACTGAGCAGGCACTTGCAAGGAAACACGTACTTGGAGCCCTCAAATTTAAAAATTTGGACAGTGGACTAGGCTCCAAGCACACAAACAGCCAAACATTCACCCGCATAAATAATCGAACATCCCCCCACACTTAAGCACGACATTGTCCTCAATGGAGGAAAGATAAGGAGGGTTGAACGAAGTTACCAGATCAAGGGTGAATGATGATGTACGGGTCAGGCAGTGCAGTCCAGGAAGAGAGAGTAATCAGAACACAAACACCACACAAAATCTCACAAAGGTTGAGTTATTGACTCTAAAATCAAATAACAAAACTGACTCAACCGAGGAGAAATAGAGAAAGAAATGCAAACCGACTGGTTGGGTTGCCTCCCAACAAGCGCTTCTTTCACGTCGTGAGCCGGACGATGGCTCCTAAGTTTCGGTCCATGCTAGAACCTCCTTGAAGTTGAGGTTCTCGTCGATGAGGTGGAGTCTCAAGTCACGAGCATGTGGTGTGGCAGGTGATGAAGGCTCATGTACTTGATGCAGATGAAGTCTCCACCCTCGAGACCTCTTCTTCTCTTCTCTCGTCTCATTGCCCCAAACCAGATATGACAGCATCGATTGGCCACCATCGCGTCCACCAAGAGGGACCGATGTCGATGTGGCCTTGGTCTGGCAAAGAGACACTGCAAATGGGTCCTTGCCAAGCAGTTCCTCAAAGTTTGGTGGGGATATTACTTGCAACTCATGGCCGGTGCATGCCTCTTCCACCTCAACTTCATCCTCAGCCTGGACGCCAATTGCTTCCTCAACCCCCCTTCCTTCTTCAAAATGTGGTCTCTCCCCTGGGAAAAGATCAAGAACCACCTCGTCTTTTCTTTCTTCCTCATCATCCACAACTTCCTTCCTCATCCTTGCTCGCTCTTCTTCTTCTAGAACAGATTGGAGAGCAAGTCGCCAAGAAATTTCTTCAATGGGATCATCTTGCATCTCCTCGCACGGGCCCAACATGTTAGAGCATAAATGAGGAAAGGTGTGGTCTGCAACCAAAGGACTTTCCTGATCATTGTTATCATGGGAGTTCTCTGTGATAACTTCTGTATGCTCCTCAACGCTCCCATAGCCTTTGTCATCCTCCACCTCTTCTAGCGTGGTAGCAGAAAGGTGATCTTGAGCAAGATGTGAGAAAACTTGCTTCACCCACTCTGTTTGCTTCGCTGAGCGCTGAACAGTCTCCTCCATATCATGGAGAAATGAGGGATCGGAAGTGGCAAGGGCTTTGATTTGAAGATCCATCTTGGAGCATGAAATCTCAGTGTCTCGAGCAAACTGCTCCACGAGAAGCCTTAATTGTTCGTTCGGATCCTTCATTGAAGTGTAGCATGGCTCTTCAGAGTGGCCCGTGAAGGCCGCCATGGGTAACTCCAGCTCCGATGGCCCTTCTGGTTGTGGGAGAAAGTCTTCTTGGTAATGAGGTTGTTCTTGATATGCCCAGGGGTCTGATTGTTCTCCGTAGTAAGGGGGTTGGTACTGGAACCCGAATCCATAGTCTTCTCCTCCTTGATTGATGTAGGGAGTCGCGGGGTAATACCACCCGGATGGTGGTGGATACCCCCAATGATTGGAGAAGCCATTAGGATCCATGATTCAGATCTGCACCAACAAAAACGAAAACACCCAAGTGAAAAGCAAGGGTGGAAAAGAAAAGAAAAACGCTAAAGTAACAAACTTCTGCCTTTCCTAATACTCTAGAAAGTCCCCGGCAACGGCGCCAAAAACTTGATGCTCTAAAACACAACACCTAACAATGGCCAAGTGTAACCAATGAAAGGGACTGCAGTATAGTGGCACAAGTAATAAATATCGAATCCACGGGTCTCTAGAGTTACTATTACTCAGCTTCAGTTCATTATCTAGCAAACTAGATTAAGGATTGATTAACTAAACTACTCTACTAACTAAACTAAGTAAAACTACTAATTACAGTTTGGGAACTCACTTAGGTATGATTCCCCCTAGCTCCTCAATTAGGTCCAAGTTGTAATTCCTTTTGGTTGTTTTACTGTTGATTAAACTGCGGAAGATCCGACAGTAGCTTGGAATCTCTCAAGCTGACCAAGCCCTCTTAGTCTAACTATCCGGCAGACGACTAGTCTTCACCGGGATAGAAAGCTGAAGCAATAAGCACAGAACTCCACTACTGGAATTGGATTCCAGTACAAAGCAGTAAACTGGCTAACTCTCGTATAGCCAATCTCCTACTACCGAATGATGAGACTCTAGCAACCTAATCAGATTCTATCTATCTCAGATTGCAGCAGGAATCAGGAAAAGTTGATCAGACTTCAATTGACTCAATAAACATGCATCATTCGATTATAATCAAACAATATAACATCCAAAACTTCATACAAGAAAGATCCTAACTCATGGAACTAAGGTTCCTCAAAACCTAAGTGAAGGGAAGTTACTCCATAGAGAAGAGAGAGACTGCAGAAATCTGATCTAGATCTTCAATCTCCATCTCCAAGCTTGATTCCCGAGCTCCAATGGCGAAGAAATCCTCCAAAATAGCTCCAAGAATGTTCCCAAGTCGCTCTCTCTCTCTAGGGTTCGTCCCTTGGGTGTTTGGGATCCAAAACCCAGCTCTCCTCTTCTTTGGTTCGGAATTTGGCTTAAAACCAGGAAATCCCGACTCGCACGGCCAGGGTGCACGGCTGTGCATATCACCATTCTGGCCGTGCAACTCAAAACGCAGCGTGTCATTTAGTCGAACTTCAGCCCTCTCGCACGGCCAGGGTGCACGGCCGTGCGAGCTTCAGGGGTTGCCCGTGCGTGTCCTCGGCATAAGGCGCACGGCCATATTGCTCACGTGCACGGCCGTGCAGCCTCCCTGGTCTGCCCGTGCAGCTCCCCAAAAACCTCGCCATTCGTCCGTTCTTCGTCCAATCGACCCCAGACTCGCTCCTAAGCCTTCATTCACGTACTAGGACCTGAAACATCACAAACAAGCACAACCTAGCGTGAAATCGGTCTAAACCACGAGAAATCACATCTCAAACGGTGTAAGAACAGGGGTAAAAACATGTGTAATTAACGGTCTATCAGAGTCACTGCCAAAAATCTGAATAGTGCCCATTAAGTAGTGTTTCTTAGCAGTTTGGCTTAGAAATGCTGACATTTATATAACCACCTTCGCTCTTGTGCTCTAAAGAATATGAGTAATGCAGAATGGCAGAGAAAAAGTAAGTGGTTTGATTGACTGTGATTGTGTTGGGTTTAGAACTGTGGAACCTTGTGCTATGAATACTTACACCACCTAAAAGGCCTTTTTCCCCATGTCCAAGACCCTAGCCAGTCATCTGAACCTGTGTCTTAGACCTCCATATTAGTTAGTGGTGACACCCCATATGCGAACTTTAGCATTTAGAGGCTGCCGTCATGGTGAAGAGATGTTAGGGATTGATAGAATAAGCATGCGCACTTTTCGCATCAAATTGTCCTGACCCCACTAGTCGAGAGTGAGCAATTCATTTTCTCATATTCTCTATACTCTTGTACCCCGGTGAGGACCTAGATTGCTCGGTCTCTATTCTGATATCTTGAGTTTTGTGCATGAGGTGACTGTCTTGAGTAAGTGGTTGAGTCAAGTCTAGGTTGGTTGGTAAACAGAAGGGAGACTCCTCCTTTACTCGATTTTGCTGCACTCGAATGTCCTCTGTGGTGGTTGTCCAGGTTGCTATTGAAGTTGTTCATGTGTTGATGTTTGAAAGCCAGTATGATTCACGTGTTCTGTGCCTTTATGATTTGTCCCCAATGTTGGTATGATTGAAATATGTGAGCTTACCTTGTGTATGACTTGGTTTGCTTGGGGACAAGCAAACGGTTAAGTGTGGGGGAGTTTGATAGACCGTTAATTGCACATGTTTTTACCCCTATTCTTACACCGTTTGAGATGTTGATTCTCGTGTTTTAGGCCTATTTCACGCTAGGTTGTTCTTGTTTGTGATATTTCAGGTCCTAGAACGTGAATGAAGGTTTGGGAGCAAATTCGGGGTCGATTGGACAAAGATTGGACGTGTGGCGAGGCGCTGAGGAAGCCACACGGGCACTCCTAAAACCCACACTGCCGTGCAAGTCACCCATGTGGCCGTGTGGGATTTAGCGAGGTTTCACACGGGCACCCTGGGAATTCCACACGGCCGTGTGTCCCTGGCTGTGTAGGAAGCCTGAAGTCCAATTATTAGAAACGCCGCGTTTTGGCACTCACACGGGCAGCTGGGTAAGCCACACGGCCGTGTGGCCTGCCCTGTGTGGTCGGGAAAATCTGGGTTTTAACCCAATTTCGAGCCAAAGGAGAGGGAGTCAACTTTTTGGAGCAAAAACAGAGCCCTAGAAAGAGAAAGTGCGAAGAACTCATCCTAAGAGTGGTTTTGGAGCTGGGTTTCATCAAATTAAGCTTGGAGATCATCATAGGAGTGAAAATCATCATCCCAGAGCAGATTCTTCCCATTATCATGAGTATGAGTGCTTTGTATTCTGTTTTCCCCTCTCTCTCTATGGAGTAGAACTTTCTCTCACTTGGGTATGAAGAACCCTAGTTCCATGTGTTAGGGATTTTGATTGTAATGACTTGGGATTGTTATACTGTTTGATTATAATCGAATGATGCATGATTCATTAAATTAATTGAAGTCTGATTAGCTTTTCTTGATTTCTGCTGCAACTTGAGATAGATAGAATCTTATTAGGTTGTTAGAGCTTCATCATTCGGTAGTAGTATATTGGTTATACGAGAGTTAGTCAATCTACTGCTTTGTACTGGAATCCAATTCCAGTAGTGGAGTTCTGTTTTCATAGCCTCAGCTTTCTATCCCGGTGAAGACTAGTCGTCTGCCGGGTAGTTTGACTGAGAGGGCTTGGTCAGCTTAAGAGATTCCAAGCTACTGTCGGATCTTCCGCAGTTTAATCAACAGTAAATCAACCTAGGGTAATTACAATTGAGACCTAACTAAGGAGCTAGGGGGACTCATTCCCGAGTGACTCTTCCTTTGCTTCAGAAAACCGAACCATTTCCTGCTTTCTTACTGTTTTTCATTAAAAAACAACAATCAAATCGACCTAGTTTGCTAGATAATAGATAATCACGGAGTAGGCAGTAGATCTAGACCCCGGGTTGATAATAGAACTTGCCACTTTACTGTATTCCCGGACTGCGATTATACTTGGTCGCAATTTGGTGTTGTGTTTTAGCGTGTCATATATCAAGGTTTATTGTTCTCTTAAGGCGTATCATGACCCCTTTCAATAGTATTCAATGTTTCATACTAGGACCACTACATGAGAACTAGTTTCTAGTCACAGGCTCTTACTCACAGTATTTTTTCCCGTATTAAGTAGTACACTAACAGTCACAGGAAAGGTTACCGTAATTAGTTATACAATTCTAATCACGGGAACTAATTTTTTTGTTTTTTAGTTTCTATGTCCCATGATTAATAGTTAGTCACCGTTGATTCCCGTTAACAATGTGTCAATTTTCAATTTTTTATAATATTTGCTTTACTTTGTAAAGATAATTTATTTTGACTCCAAAATTTCCCTTAACGCTAAAGTTACTTTGAAACCAAATTTTGTTTAGGCTCCAAAAATTCAATTTCACTTTAAAATTTGGCTCCACAAATTTTCCAACAGCAAAATTTGCCCGCCAATTGAAACACTCATTTCTTTCCCCTCTCATACCCATACTCTCTCTCTTTCTTTGTTCTTCTTCTCTAGAGGAATTGAGGCTGGAGCCAAACCCTTCTTAGCCCCCCTGAAACTCTACCTTAGCCGCCCAAAATCCACCAATTTATTCATAATCAAAACCCTGGGTTCTCGTTCATTTTCCCTCTTCTCTTCATCCACTCTTCCCCTGCCAATCTTTGATATTCGTTCATCAGACTACACGTCCGAGAAGGGAATTGGAAAATCGGGTTAGCCGCTCCACTCCAAGCAATCAACCGGGAATGACGTACACTGGAGGAGAGTCGATTTAAGGGTCCAAGTTTTCTGGTGAGAACTTTGTCAAGAAGCAGAACGGCCCCAAATTCTTTCCATGACCAATGTTGGGCTAGGGAAAACAGATCTGAGTTCTTCATCTGCACTGCCTAAATCGAGTGGCTGGATGACAAGCACGTGGTACTCAAGTAGGTCATGAAGTCCTTAGGCATAGTCAAAGGCGATTCGGAAGGTCAGATATGGATCTGGGAGGACTTTCAAGCTCGTCTACATTGCCGAGTGCGGCCAGCTCTAGGTGTTAATAGGATGTTTTTTCCCATTCCATTTATATTATTCTTCAATCAGTGACGACATGGTGGTTTTGATGTCTCTTTCTTCTATGTTTATGTTCTGTTTTCATTGTTTTGGTGAGTTAGCGTTTCAGGTGTCTTTTAAGTGTTGGGTATGTGATGAGTTTCATTACCACTAACTGGTTTGAGGTTTATCGATTCTGCGTAGGCTAGAATCTAGAAGGCTGGTGGTGAATGCCTTGCCATTTGATCTGCCTACTTTGAGCCGAGAACACGGTATGATGCTTCCACACCAGAACACGGTGTGATGCTCCCATCTTTCTCCCTTCCTTTTATGGTTTGATTAACTTCCTCCCGAAATTCATTGGTTTTGCTTGTTGCATTGAACGAATGGTTAGCTAGGGATCTCTGTTTTGGATATGTGTTTACAGACTGATGGTTAAAATTTAGAGTAGTTCTCAGGGGTCGTAAAAATGATAGTGAAGCACTTTTCCCAGCTCGTAGTATGCCACACTACCACCTAAACCCTATACTAGGTTGAAGGGAAGGAAGTTCTAGATATCTATGCGGAGGAGGAACAACAGGAGACATTGGGTTTAAGTTGTTGGGTTTGCATAGTTGATGATGTACTAAAGAGGATTGGTGCATAGAGTTTACTTGGGATTTGTTGTTTATCATCAAAGACTTAAATATGTTCCTTCTCAGTTCTGATTATATTTTGTCTGCATGTCTCAAGCTCTTTAGTGTGTCTTGAAAGTTTGTTGTTAACACATATTGCGGGCTTTTAGTTTTGCCCTTAGCAAGTTCCCTTAGTGTATATGTGAAAATCTGATTCCTACCTCATATTCATCCAAAATGAAGTTAGTAGTATTTGTGTTCTATCCTGTGTTAAAGTTTGTTGTTAGTGCAGATTGGTTGCTTAAGACTTGCCCCTTCAACCTTCTTTCTCCCAATATACTGCTTTCTTCAATTTGTGCAGACTTATATTGAGAAAGAAGATGGTAAGAAGTTGAAGCAGAAGCAACGAGAGAGCACACATCATTTATCAGATTTCATTAACTGGCACTGACATGTTGTTTTTGTTCTTGTGTCATTTCTGCTTTGTACTTATTGCTACTCTGTGCCAATGACTTCTTTTGCAGTTCTCCATGATGCCTTTTTGAAGTTCCAAACAAAGCCAAAAGTAACAAGTCACAGTGACTTATTCTGCGAAGGGAAGGAATTCAATGTACAAATTCTGCATTTCCTGGGTTATTATGTTCAATACTGCTTCAGCCGCAGTTCTTCATATTTTTGCTCTTTATTTCTCCAAATTCAGCACCAAATGCACCAATCCCTCCATAAGCTAGCTATAGTTATTATCCTGCTGGTAGGGCCAAACCTCCAGTTGGGGAAGATCCCACGGTGTGTTTGATGCTAGTAGAATTGTAATATACAAACTGGATTGCTTGTATTGGTGATTTGGAATTAGTTAGCCTTTTGAGCTTAAGTTTTTTTTTTTCTAGAAGTTTAAGGATATGTTCCATGTGTTTGATTTTCTTTTCTGGTGCTTTATCCTTGAGCATTACTTTGCAATTAAGCCTCTCTTTGTTAATGAGTCATTCAATTATGTTCTATATAGCATGTTACAATGTATTCGTGCTAAAATTTCTTTTTGTCGTGTGCTGCAAGTTCTTACAAAAGCAGCTTATGGGAAACTGAATAGCAAATGACTTGTTTCATGTAGAAAAATGAAGTAATCTTTCAAAGACAAAGCACAATACTGGGTTGCATAGTGTGGAACTTGCTCAAAGTACGTTCTCCTTTCTTCTCTAGCTTTTGTGCTTCTTTGATTGGTTGGTTCCAATTGATTTGTGCTTCTTTGATAATGTCCCTCTATTTCCATGGTAAAAAACCTTCTACCATGATCAGTGACTCTCCCATGCTCCCATGATGAGTAACATCTTTACCCTGATCTCGCTCCTTATCGTTCTATCTATGCTTTTGTATTGCACCTGTTAATAGATGATTATGTGTTTGATTTTTGGCAGAGAAGATGAAGTAGCTTGTAAGGGCAATTGACATGTCATTGAACAAAGAGGAAGAAGAATTTCAAAGTGGATGAGTAGAGAAGATATATAGTTGTGTACAAAGGATTGATACTTGGTTAGTGATGGGTTTACTTTTTCCGGGTTAACGAATTCATGTAAAAGTTTTTTTTTTTTTTTTTATAAGGATGATATATGTTTCTTCTTTGTGATTAAGGTACTACTTAAGGGATTCGAACCTGGGACCTCCAGGTTCTACCACTAGACCAAGCCCAAATTCGTTAACCCGGGGAAAGAATTCATGTAAAAGTTTGAAAGGACATAATTTGTAATGACCTTTGACTTTTGTTTTGGATATTAAGCTACCTGATTTGTAATTACTTTTGATTGAGGCTATTAAGGTACATCATTTGACAAGTTCTTTATTGTCATTTCATTAGTTAGACTCTCAATACGTCAAGTTCCAACATGGAGAAATGACAAGAAAAAAACTAGGTGTAATTAATTAGGGAAATTCTTTAGTGGTTATGCATCATGGGAGTTACCGTGATTAATGTAAAATACCGTGACCAAATTTCAGTATCTAGGTACGGGAGAATCAACCAGATACCGTGACTGATGATTGACATCTAGTCACAGGAAACTATTTTGTCACGGTAGATACAGTGTTAAAAGGCATACATCCCATCTCTAAACAAAAAAAATTTTGATTTTGTGTGGCAAGATTTGGTAATAGTCACAGGGCTCACTGTGATTAATAGGTACAAATTATTACAGGAAATGATACCGTGACTAGATATAACTAGTCACGGTATAAATATACCGTGACCTTTACAATTAGACACAGAGGTATATATTACGGTAATTTTACCGTGCCTAATACTATCAAACACGGGAAACACACTTTCAAACACAGGATTTCCCGTGATTAAATGACCTTTTTCCTATAGTAGACAATCAGTAAACCTGCCAAGTACCCCCACTATGTCGGGTCTCATGTTTATCAGCTGTCTCTCGCAGACTGTCAATGCTAGTACGTTCTTACTTCCTTACACCGTCTTTGGTGTTCTTTAAAAATTATGCTAGCACCATCAAACATTTCTGCAAGTGTTGAGCTCGTATTTCTTCTAGATCTAACTGTGTAGTTAGATTGATCTAGATGAAATCTCTTTCATTGTCCTAGTAGTCTGGATCTACAAGCATAAAACTTGCTTCATCCAGGTCTTTTACCTTCATAATTCTCAAACAACATGGTTTTTCATAGTATTGACATCACGAGTTTTTGTACCAAAGATCAACTTGTCATTCATAATGCAAGTGTCATTCTCAAATTTGTACTAAATGCACTTGTCACTTTCACTTTTAAAACCATGAGAGACAATCTGATTATTCATGCCACTAATTAAGAGTCTATTTCAAATCATATAATGATTTGTCTAACCATAGACTCCATAAGCATGTTCAAGAATAACAACCTTTAAGATTATCCCAATGTAGATTTCTTTATTCAAATCACCATTCACAAAATTCTACATATTGGTGAATAAAGATATCAAAGAAATCTACAGATTTTCCTCTTCATCTAAAGCCTTAGCTACTAGGCTATCATTATAATCATAAACTAAACCATCAGGTTTTAGTTTTCCTTTTAGGAATCCATTTATTACCTTGGCTTCATTGCAGGAGGTAATTCTCAAAGATGCCAAATCTTGTTCGGTTCCACCGATATATTACCCAAGGCTTTACCACCAAGTGGCAACTCTACATGATTCTAAGTCTTACTAGACTCCACAAATTCCATTTCGTTAATAATAGATTCTTCCATGAATCTGCATATTTATGGAAGTTCAAACTTCAAGCAGACTTGTGGGATCTTTCTTAGGGTGTAAATAACAAATTCATAACCAAAATCCTTTAGTGGATTATGGTTCATTTGTCTCTTGTAAGTTCATACTCAAATTCATCACCCCACTAGTTCCATTATTTCTAATAGCATGTAGGATATCACCCCCACTATTTCTTGATTCAAATTAAAATTTATTGCCATCAATGGACTCCACAACACAATGAGTATTCATTTCATACACTTATGTGTTTTACAATAACTTACACACTCATATGCTCTTCTAGTTATCATGTTACACTGATTCTCTAACTCTACCACATGCATGTCACATATCTAATAATTAGTGCAATTAGGCATTTCAAACCATTTAAAATAACTAGTCAGACAATTAGAGCACTCTAAAGAGCAATAAATTATTTATTGTCTTTTCCATCAAGTTTACCCATACCAACATAAATCAGATCTATTCATTATGATTATCTAATCACTTATTTATGGGTCATGTAGCTTGGATAAAAAAAAAGTTTACTTTTATCTCAAGCATTCAAGAATAATATGAGAATGTGACTTTCTAGAATAGCCAACGACTTTCTAGAGTTTAAGGTTCGTTATTTGCCTAATCATTCCTTACACCTAGAATAGTCAACGACTTTCTAGAGTTTAAGGTTCGTTTCCACTTTTCCAGAACCATCAACAGTGGTGGTGAAGGCAATGCCCAATCAAATCATTCTTCTCACACCTCAATTATGTATGATTGAGCTTAGCTCGTTTATCACGCCTTAATTATAATATATTACTATTTCATTCAAAGATATATTGTTATGCTTGTCTTTTGTTGCTTGAGTATTTCGATATTTATGCAATGCCATTGATGTTTTTATTTCGATGTTTATGATTTTATTGTATGCTACTATATGAATTGTTTATAATATCATTTAGGATGTTGGAAAACTATTTTCTTATGACATCCCAGTGCCCTATGTGTGTATGGGAGGATTCGTCACACATCCATTACATGAATATGATCAATGCTTGATTGTTAGATCACCAATGATATAGAGTATAGACCTTATGTTATGGCTCAAGAAGCCCACACTTAACTAAGTGATATCATTACTTCTCTATTCATTGTTTACTAGGTGATGACATGAAGCGAAAGCATGCATTAGCTAGTTATAGTTCGTCTCACATGTGGAGAAAGCTCGGTTAGAAATGCTTTGGTAGATGGGATAGAGTGGTACAATAGATAAATATTTATGCATGATATGAATGAGAATTGAGATATATGTTTATGTTGGGGGTACCACTAGAGGGGCCCAAAAGAGGGTCCAAGAAAGAGCCCAAAGGATCCTGCAAAAGGGCCTGCGAAGGCCACTCCATGTCGGGTGGGGTATGCATGGAGACAAAACACTAAAGGCCAAAGAATGCAAAGCTGGCAAGTGGTCCCCCGCCTGTAGGCGCCTGCCAGTCGTCAGAAGCCTGACAAGGAGGTTGGGGCTCCTGACAGGAGTGCAGGTACAAAGCATTTAACTAAGTGATATCATTACTTCTCTATTCATTGTTTAATAGGTGATGACATGAAGCGAAAGCATGCATTAGCTAGTTATAGTTCGTCTCACATGTGGAGAAAGCTCGGTTAGAAATGCTTTGGTAGAAGGGATAGAGTGGTACAATAGATAAATATTTATGCATGATATGAATGATAATTGAGATATATGTTTATGTTGGGGGTACCACTAGAGGGGCCAAAAAGGAGGGCCCAAGAAAGAGCCCAAAGGAGCTTGCAAATGGGCCTACGAAGCCCACTCCATGTCAGGTGGGGTAGGCATGGAGACAAAATACTAAAGGCCAAAGAAGGCAAGGCTTGCAAGTGGTCCCCCGCCTGTACGCGCCTGCCAGTCGTCAGAAGCCTGACAAGGCGGTTGGGGCTCCTAACAGGAGTGCAGGTACAAAGAATTTAATGTGATGGTGACGTGGAGGAGATCCACCTCGAGCTCGGTGAGTATAAATAGGGGCAGTTGGTAGCATTTACACATGTTGGACTCTCTCACTAAAACTCTTTCTCTAAGCACTTCTCTCTCTAGGAAGAGACTGACTTGATCGTCGGAGGGCTAACGGGCCTAGGCGCCCCCCACTATGCTCGTGTGTGTAGGCAGGTGCCAGGCAAAGAAGGTGTGGCCGTGTTGACGAGGCGTCGAGGCTCAAACAATTGGCGCGCCAGGAAGGGGTATAACCAAGAATCATGAGTATGGAGGCGCCCATGAGTGGAGAGGGAAAAGAGATCACGGAAGACCAGTCTGAGAGAATGAGAGGGCTGACGCCCGAGATGGATGAAGGTGAGGAAAGAGATGGCATGTTTCAAGGATCGGAAGGCGCCTCGGTCACCAAAGGGGAGCTGTTTAGAATCACCAAAGATCAGGACGAGGCGATTGAGGCGCTTCGATGGGAGGTTGATGCCTTGAAGAGAGGAGAAGTGATGACGCCCAGCCCAACCTCGAAGAAAAGGGAGAGGGTGGCGGAGACAGAAAGCGAGTCTGGACATTTGAGGCGCCCAAGCCTATGTCGCCCACATGATCGCAGTGGTCCCCACACCAACAGATGGAACATGGGAATCCTGGGGTGCCTATCGCGCCACTGCTCTGTGAGTAAGCCTCTGGCGCGGAACATACTGATGGAGCCCGCGGGAACCAACATCCCCCCACTCCCAACCTATGATAGGACGGCGGACCCGGATGACCACTTAAACAGGTACTTCACCAAGATGCAGCTTTACAACAGCTCAGATGCCACCCTGTGCAAGGTATTCCCATCGACCTTCGCGGGCGTGGTCCTTGACTGGTACCACCAAATCGAAGAGGGGTGCATTGACTGCTTCGAGCAGTTTGCAGCGATGTTCTTGGCAAAGTTTGCTAGCAGGAAGCGCCGCTCCCTGACCATAGGCGCCCTCTTCAAGATCAAGCAGAAAGAAGGGGAGGCTCTGAGAGAGTTTTACGAAAGGTGGCTCTCAGTAGCCTTGGCGGTAAAAGACGCCCAACACTCAGTATTGTGAGTATGCTTGAATGAATGCACCACCAGCGAGGAGTTATGCAGGGCGCTTGCCAAGAGGGACGTGGTATCCACGGAAGATTTGGATCACCGAGTGCAAAAGGTGATCATGCTCGAAGAAACTTTGGCGGCCAGAAGGGCAGATAGGCGAAGGACGAGGGGAGAAGAATTTGAGATGATAAGGAGACCACACCCCACGAATGGACCAGGATATGCACCCGTGAACCACCCCCCGCCAAGAAGAGTTGATACAGGGACACTACGCCCAGAGGAGCGGGAGCCTTTGCAGAATACAATGACACGCTGAAAAACATACTCCAGCACGTCAAGGAAAAAGGATATCACATCCGATGGGTGGGCCCCATGAGGGGACATCCCAATGAACGGAACTTGGACCGATATTGTGATTTCCACCGGGAGGTGGGACACCATACGACCGACTGCTACCAATTGAAGACTGAGCTACAAGGCCTGGCGGATAGAGGGATGCTCAATGACTTTGTCAAGAAGCCTGAAGAGAGGGTGCATCGAGGCAAGCCGAACGAATACGACTTACCGTCGAGTCCATTTCAGGAACGGTGGACTGGAGGGAAAAGCTAGAGGCAAGCCGCCGGCTAAGAGCCGCCTC